AGAAATGCACATCTAAATCTTGTTATTCAAAACACTTTCATAGGGAACTTCTGAGTGGAGAGGAGGGTCTTCTTCAGCTTCCATCCGATAAGGCTCTCTTGAGTGATCCAGTCTTCCGGCCTCTTGTCGAGAAATACGCTGCTGTATGTTAATATGACGCATATGCTTTATATTGTTATTTCCTTGCGAGTCGTTTAGAAATGCACATCTAAATCTTGTTATTCAAAACACTTTCATAGGGAACTTCTGAGTGGAGAGGAGGGTCTTCTTCAGCTTCCATCCGATAAGGCTCTCTTGAGTGATCCAGTCTTCCGGCCTCTTGTCGAGAAATACGCTGCTGTATGTTAATATGACGCATATGCTTTATATTGTTATTTCCTTGCGAGTCGTTTTCCTACTCTGATTGTTTCTTTTTATTGTATAGGATGAAGATGCTTTCTTTAGTGACTATGCTGAAGCCCACCTAAAGCTTTCCGAGCTTGGGTAAGTATCGATAATCTGAACTAGAAATGGGGAAACTTGATATTTTCTTATCTTAAAGTTTTTGTTCTTCTTGTTCTTCACAGATTTGCTGAGGCTTGAAAGGTTATCTATGGATGATTGTGAGAAATATATGATGTCAAGTTAAAATAAGAGCATCCTGGCTATATAGGTTGTAGGCCAACTTCTTAGTTTATTTTGTGATTTTGGTGGTGGTCCTATTTTCTGAAACTTTATGGGCATCAGTTTGTTTTGAGTACGAGTGTACTTTCTTTTGTTTGGTACTGTTATCCACCTAAACGGATATTGTGGCTTTGGCATTTATATGCATACTGGTTCTTGTCTTCTTGCTTTGGGATGTTGGTCGGAGTTTATTAAGATACGTGTTATTAACAAAAAAGAGGAACGAAAAGAGCGCAAAAGCGATAAAACTAAAAAATTGATTTCCTCATCTTCTTATTGCGGATAATTTTAATTTGATGAGGATTTTCAATTTTTTTAAGAAATTTCTAATTATTCATGCTTCATTGTTTTGATGAGGTTTGATGAGGATTCTTATGTGGAAATGTGATCGTGGTCATCGTGATTACATGGTAAAAGTTATTGCACTAATACCTGTTTAGATGACAAACCAATTTCCTATTCATAATTGAAAACTTAGGCAGGCAATGGCCGGCGTTTACAGATGCTCGGCTTCATCCAATAGATGTGCATCTCTAGCTCCTCCGTCTCTCTCCACGCTTAGAACCTTGTCACCTTCCAGTTGCAAATAAATTTCATTGCCCCAATCAATATCGTTGTCTTAAGAGTTTTGACAAGCCTTACGATAACGATACTGGATCACGTACAACCGCAAAGTATCCTACGAGCAAAACCTAGGCGTTATGCTTATTCTGAATTCATATCCATCGAAACACTATGCTTAAATCACCATGTACGGAACCTTGGGTGGTACCGTGGAATTCTGCAACTGTTTTGATATTCCTGTATCTTGCGCACCTCCTCTGTCTCTATTGATTCAGGCCCCTCCCTCCATATTGCTTCAATATCGGCCTCAAAGGGAGCTGGATGTTCAATTTCATCATAGCATGTCTTTTCTTTCCTCTTGTTGCATGCCTCGATCGATTACAGTTTTGTACGTGCGCCGCCAAAGAAGTACTTTACTAGCTTAAAACAAGCGGTTAAGTGTCGTCGTGATTATACAGCTGTGGCATTGGAGATGTTTACAATCACAGGTGCTCCGATCAGCGAGGAGATTATTGTGTACCGAGGATTTCTGATACCATCGCTCTTGAGAGACATGCCTCTGCACTGGTCTATCATGTTAAGTTCGGTTTATTTTGCAGAGATGCACAAAGATGAAAACTTTATGCTGAGTAGAACGTTCTCTGCAATGGTATTTGGGGTCGTTTTCGCGAGGTCCAGGAACTTGCTGCCTCCAATGCTCCTTCATATGCTGTGGAATATGTTATCTTGCGTTAAGGAAATCCAATACCTTATAGGTACTTCGTTTTGAGCATTTCCCCAACTTCTTAATAGAATGTCATACGTCGCAAAATTTTGATCATTGCGCAAGTTGATATGTTGATAGTTTAATTTGTTCTGCAGGACTGTATTGGTAGTCAAGAACTTGGACTCAGCTATGTTGGTTTTCATTGTAAGAGCATCCTGGTGATTGATTACAGGTGAACTTCTTATTGAATTTTGTGGTTCTTTTGTCAATGTTCCTTGTTTGAGCACGACATGAAAGTTGTCATATTTTCTGGAAGTTTACTGGCTTCAGTTTATTTTGAGTACAGTGTAATTTCCTTGTGATAAATTACTATTTCTCTTCTGAATAAAATTATTGTTTCTTCAATAAAACCCCCTCATTTTCTCCTTGCGGAAACACCATGATGAACCAAACGTAAAAGAATACATTACATTATTTTCCTCGCACAATATGGAAGTTATCCTATTTTCTGAGAGTTTATTAACTTCAGTTTATTTTGAGTAGAGAAATTTCCTCATGATATATTTCTATTTCTTTTCTTAAGAAAACTTTTGTTTCTTCAATAAAAATCCTCATTTTCTCCTTGCGAAAACACCAAAAATGAACAAAATATAAAAGAAAACATTACATTACTTTCCTCGAGAAAGATAACATGACATTATTGAATTCACTCACCTTATAAATTCAGTTATAAACAGCACTCCTACCTTTACTCTCAACAGGAAAAAGAAGAAAGAAACAAGATGGTAACAAAAGCAAAGAGGAAGAAAATAAAAGAATCAAAATGACAATTATAACTCACACATAAAGATTTTACAAAAAATAAAACTAATGGCCATATTGAGGATTGAAAGATATAGCCTCATTGTATATCAACTCCTTCATTTGATCTTCAGTCAATGCATGTTGCTCGAATTCGAAGGAGAAAGGCTCCATACAAATTGGTTCATCAGCAATATCATGCAATCTCTCGAGATATGGATGTGCAAGTGCATCTTCAACTAAAATAAAATAAAAATAAAATTCAGTTCAAGAAATTCAATCAATCATACAATACTTAATCAAGAACAGGATCTGTTTCCAATACCTGAAATTCTTTTTCTCGGATCAAATGTCAGCATTTTCTCTATCAGATCAATGGCAACTGGATTGATATGAGGAAACAAACTTGCAAAGGGTTGACGTGGAAAAAATGGGAGATGTCTTATATATTTTCTAGCATCTTCATTCCGAACAAATCCAAGATCAGCATCAGTTGGTGTGCCAATTCGCTGAGAAATCCATAGTCACATTGTTAGAATCCAATCATTCAAGTAAATTCTTTACACAAATTAGGACTATTTGCATATACAGTTGATGTTCTAATATTTAGTACATGCATCCCCTGACTCATGACGGCATGAAGAGGTGTATGTGCCAATTGCAGATAATCATTGTTTTGAATTTACTACCCCTGTAGTTTTATTATTACAGATAGCTCCTTGGGGTGAATTTTTTTTTACTCTTTTATCCTT